TACATTTTTGTTTACATCGTGTATCATTATAAATATTCCCTTTTAAATTAATAACAACGTGATATATAATATGACACTTCCTGTTGTTAAATCTTCTTTTTTTTATTTTTTCGCATTAAAAATTACATGCCTTCTCGTATATTTGAAGTTTTATGTTGAACAATCTTTCAAAAACATGTAAATGCAACTGACTGTTTAACGTTATCATGTAGCATACACCAATGCAACCCAATTGATAATATATCTCTTTATACATTTTCCCCCTTTTTTATTTGTTATTTGGTACGGTATTCACTCTCCTAAATGAGTTCGGAAAATATTTTAAAGTCAATGAAACGGCGAAAAAAATTTACAACAATACAGTCTTATTATTCACTGTTTATAAAGATTATGATGTGCTTTAATGTGCTTAAATTGCTTTAATCTTGATTTGACTTGCCCATAATGATAATGCATATTATATATAAATTCATATCAGAATTTAAATAAATGATACCTGTTAAGTTTTAAAAAAGAATCTAATATCTAATTTTAATTTGAGCCGGAGTTGATTTTAACGAATATAAATATTTTCCGTTTATTCAAATAAAATCTACCATAAAACTAAAATATAGATTATTTAATCTCCTACAGCTATTATTTGAGCTAATTGATATATTATTTGAATCACACGTATAGCAGAATAATGTTTACTTCTTAAACAGTTTTGAAATACTCGTACTTTACGTCACCCCTTTAGTCAGGGATCTCAATGTACTCTAACAATCAAAGGTTAAAAAAACTAAACTAAATACATAAACACAGAGGACAATCGTTTAAATAAATGTTTTCAGGGGAGGCTATATAAGTTTATCTATGAATATCTCGAAACTAAGGGATATAAATAAAAAAAACAATAAGTCGAAGAAAGGTCCTATGACCCAAACAAGCACCGGGATGAACTCATTTGTTCCGGAAGGGACAGCAGTTCCTGCTCCACTAGTGAAACCGTTTTATATGTTTTGAGTGTTCTTGCGTTTATTTGTACTGTATTCCTGTCATGTAATGTTGTCATTTTAGCGGTATTTTTAACATTGCCATAGATGCGGGAGGTTTGGCTGGCCATAAAACCAGGTTCAACCCACGATTTTTTCTTAAAATTTCCTGTTCCAAGTCAGGAATATGGCAGTTGTTATCAAATAGTCCGTTTCTATGTATGTTGGCGTTTGTTTTTGTAGCAGTTCAGTGTTTCTGTTGTTCCGTTGTTTTCCTCTTATATTGCTGTGTTTCCCTCGGTTTTGGTTTGTGACCCGGATTTGTTTCCGCTTAATTGATTTATGACTATTGAACAGCGTATACTACTGTTGCCTTTATTTATTATAAACCAATTCAAAAATAGGGGACTGTATTGCAATCACAGTGTCCATCCGTTCGATCGATCAAAAATTATGTGCAGCAGCCAATGAACAGAACGACGTCATTTTTGTTCTCAGCAGCTTGACAGGAATAAGTTGTAATGTGTCAGCAGACACATACTTCCTGCTTGCTTTACATATTTAGATATGTTGAATAAACTTTTCGTCACATATTGTTCTAGTACTGATGGAACAATTACTACATATTTGGCGATCAGCTTTACTTTGATTAGTTTAAAAGTGTGTGCATTTTATCCCACTTTTCTCTGAAACTACTTCATAGAATTATTTCATAATTGGTCAGCGGCTTGGTACTGATGTGTTGTCGGATACCTGCTTCCTGTTATCCTATATTTTGAATTAGGAATGAAGGTATGCTTAGTCGACAACATGTAAAGTCCGTTGATAGTGATAGTGATAAGAACATATGACTTCTCCAACCTTGATGGAGTCTCGACACAAACTTTTTGATCTTAACATTAGCAGATTTTGTCAATAATAATATGATCGATAACAGATGGTTAATCAATCACTTTTTTAACCGAAGGAGTTCATGTAACTCAATGTTTTGTTTTTTGAATATGAATTGTTTCGTTAAATTAGATTCATTCGTTATCGTTTACTCTTTTTATGTATTTGTTCTCATTAAGAACACTAGGTATTTCCTCCTTTCATGGTCCTGTCCTTATTTTGATTGACCTTTGATCCTGTTGAAATTTGTTGAGTAAATCCTGACTTTCAAAAGCTTGGTTTTAGCGTTCTTGATGAATGTAAATCCAAAATAACGCGTCGGACGCAAGAACTGTTTAAAGTGTTATTTCATTTACTTGAACATGATCAATATCACAGCTGTTGAACTGTTAGTCCCCGAGGATGTTATCAACTCAGTGCTTCGGTACTGACATTATTTTAACATTTTTGTTGTGGTCTATAATAACCCATCGACTAATTAAGACATTAGTAAGAAACTAAGGTTTCAACTCTCTCAGGCAAATCTGACCTAAGATGAATTTGGTTATTGTTTTTAGGCCTCCTTTTGGTCATATAGTTTCTACCGTTTCCACGTTTATACATCCGGGGCTTTAACAATGTTTTGATTTGAGCATTCCTGAAAAAAGCCGCTTAGGACGCACACAATTTATTTAATGCTTTTTTCATTTGTGACATTTTACATGAGCGGATAGTTCTCTCATTGGTAATCATACTTCATCTCCTTATCTTTATATTTCCTCCGTGGGGAAAACATATAGAAAAAGAACAAAACACCTCTACATTCGAATTCTTTTGAACAGGCGTTACGGCAGGTCTGAGAGCGATTATCAACATATTAATTTGTACTTATGCACTTGTATGACATATATGATTAACCAAGTTTTATAATCCGGAAAATATTCATGTTAGAGTGTGTCTATGTTTTATGGACATACATGAGTGCAATCCTGATAATTATAGATTTATAGAAAAAAAAAAAATTGAAAGACAAAATAGTTGTACAGTTTTACAAATACGTAAATTTGACGAGGATTTAGGCGGATTGATTGCTAGTATTCATTTCATCTGTTGTCATGCATACTTATTTCTTCATTTTCATCCCGTCTTCGGCAAGATTATGTCTCAACAGACCCAGGGTATTCATATTCAAGTTCCTTCTGACCCCACCTAAGAAAATCAAATTGTCATCCCATATATATTGACAGGGCAAATCAAGAAGTATCATGCTTAAAATCATATAGAATAAACATGTTACTGAAAATTAGCTGAAGTATCTTCCTATGCACGCACGAATTATTCATTCAAATGCATATATTCTAGCAATGTTTGATTATTGTTGTACCATTTTGGGAAAATGTAATTTATTTTGTATATATGATATAAACAAAGTACATTTATTAAAGAGGGCAGCAAGGGCATAGATGTCGTGAGCAGTATAAACACAATGTTTTGGATGCTTTGGTTTTCACAATACTTGATTTGGCCTTCTAACTATTTCGATTCGAGCGCCACTGGTCTTGTGTAGACGAAACGAACGAAATTATAAGACTGGTATCTTTTGTGAGTTGTTAGAAGCTGATATGATGACACCGTTATCATTACTTTTTTTATAAAGATCAACAGGAGTAATATTGAGGAAGAAGTTAAGTATTACAAAGCTATTCTTGTGTTTTGGTGAGGTTTGTGTTGATCAGTCTTTTGTTTTCTATGTTGTGTTTTGTGTACTGTCTTTTTGTCGTTTTTCCATTGCATTGTCAGTTTGTTTTCGACGAATGAGTTTGAATATCCCTTTGGTATCTTTAGCTTCTTTTTTTCAAATCTTTAAATGGATTGGCAGCCTTATTCTGGAATAATTTCCAATATACAAATTTTTCCAATTATCAGTTGTGTTTCATTAACAATAACAATGAATGGCATGCATATCTGCGCCAGAGCCAAACACCAAATGTATAAAGAAGTAACGTGCTCTGCCGTAAGGAATACACAGCCAAAAGTAAAAGATTCCAAAATCGTTGAATAGATAAATGTTAAAATTTCTGTATTATCGGGTAATTCATGTTTTTTGAAGCATTTGTTGTAAATAATAATATGAGAATATAATCATTTGACATGCATACAATGTGCATTTATCTATCCCAGGATTAAATTACCTTAGCTGTGTTACGCAAAACTTTTAGGAATATTGGGTCCTCCATGCTCTTCAACTTCCTACTTTATTTGGCCTTTTACACTTTTATTATTCGAGCTTCACTGATCAGTCTTTTGAAGACGAATCGCGCATCTGGCGTACATAATTGTAATCCTGATATCTATGATGAGTTTATTCTTTTATTTGTCTTTATTAATATTACTTTTACTGTTAAGTCTGTTTTTTGAGATATCCATTTTGCATGACTCTGTGCTTATGTATCCCGTCATACTTTGAACGACAAAATTATTTTATTTAAAAATATTCCTTTTACTGTTAAGTCTGTTTTTTGTGATATACATTTGACGTGACTCTGTACTTATGTATCCCGTCATATTTTGAACGACACAATTATTTTATGTCTACCTGTGCGAATTTCAAACGCGCGATTTTACGCTAGTACTTAAAACCTTCCATCCTTTATGGGTGGATTTTACATAGATAAATAAAATCGTATAATATAAGCAAAATGAGGATGTTAAATTTGATGTATGCCTTTTTGTGCTTCTTCGTTACATTTTTTTTGCTTTTATAGTGATTGAGATGATAACACAATGTTGACTGCTGTACCCCTCTTTTTGACAATTTTACCTATTGTGTCTGTTTGTTTTGTTCACGCATCGTTGTCAATATAATGGAATTTGATGCGACTGTCATACAAGTGAGAGGTTAAGCTAGCTATAAAACCAGGTTCAATCCACCATTTTCTACATAAGAAAATGCCTGTACCAAGTCAGGAATATGACAGTTGTTATCCATTCGTTTGACGTGTTTGAACTTTTGATTTTGCCATTTGATTGGGGACTTTCCTTTTTGGGTTTTCCTCGGAGTTCAGTATTTTTGTGATTTTACTTTTTATTTATCTTATGTTGAATACTGATTTATAGTTGACTTATTTTGAGGACCTTGGAAAGATTAGCCTTGACTAATAAGGCGAACTTCTTTAATAAAAAATATCTATTTGTTTATCTATTACGTTATTCTTCAGAACAGTCAAAGTACATCAATCTGCTAGAAAAAAATATTCTTTATAGAAATTTAAAAAAGCTAAAAAATAAAATAAAATAGAAATGACATTTAAAACAAGCCAAAAAAAGAAACCAAGCAACAACATATTATTATTAATACTTAAAAAACAAAAAGAAACTTTGTCATTTAGTTGATTAAAACAGCTCCCACTGATGCCACATTTTATACAACATTACATTGATAGATTGGTTGATTGATGGTTGCATATAGGATTATCACAAAATTGCATAATAAGTTAAGTTGGATAATAATTAGTGTTGTCAACGGTTAATCGGTTAACCGTCGGAAAGACCTAATATCGATACCAAAATCGCTAACCGGTTAACCGTCGGAAAGACCTAATATCGAATACCAAAATCGCTAACCGGTTTACCGTCGGAAAGACCTAATATCGATACCAAAATCGCTAACCGGTTAACCGTCGGAAAGACCTAATATCGATACCAAAATCGCTAACCGGTTAACCGGTTAACCGTCGGAAAAACCGAATATCCAATACCAAAATCGCTAACCGGTTAACCGGCCCTTTTTTCATTACTGATAGATTTGATATAAATGTGTATTGAAATCTTTAATCAATTTTTAAAATGATAGTCGTGCTAATTAATTTGACAGATCAACTGTCCATTATATTGATTCCTATTGTTAACCTTGAAAACACTCAAAAGCCAAAAACAACTTGTCTATCAGCTCCTGGCAATATCTAAAGTAAACATAATTAACGTACATGTATTTTGAACAGTTGTAAGCTGAATACATTTTAAGAATAACTTCATTATTTTACTTTTACCTACATGTAAATATGCCATCTCAATCTTCTTAGGCTTTGTCCTACTTTAAACGGAATGCCCACTCAAGAATGGTAAAATGCAAATTATGTGAATGTAATTAATATATAATACTGTGTGGTATGAGTGACACGATTAATCATCTCAAACTGAAACACTCCACAGAATTTTACTGAGACACCAGAGAAATTGAAACAATCACCGGTTATAGACTTTGTCAATTTCCCTTATAATGATAGTAAATGACAAAATATTTTCATGTCAAATATAGATTAGACTTTTTCAATTTGCCGAGATCAAGACGATTTTCAACTTCTCAATCTTAAGTTATTACAAATGCCATCGTAGATATGGCAGTATTGGATTATTAAAGATATAACTTCACCAGGACAAACCGTGCATTTATAGAGGACTGAAGACCTTTGAAACATCAACTTAAGTATCGGTTAACCGGTTAATCGGTCGAAAGATTTCCCGAGTAACCGGTTAGTAAAAACTGTTGAATTTGACAACACTAATAATAATATAGTAAAATAGTAAAAAGTAAACAATGTATGCTCTTAAATCATGTACCAAATACTGGAAAAGGAAAAATAGTAACTTTCTCGCTATTTTACATTAAATACTATCATATAAAAACCTCTGTCCACCATGGACGTAGTTACGGATTTTAATGTGTGTATCACGTGATTTTCTGAAATAACATCCCTCATGTACTCTCTAAATAAAAAGTTTAAAAAGTCAAATAAAAAGAACACCAAGTTTTCATGAACAGTAAAAAAGATTAACTGTCTCAAATTGCGAGAAACTTAAAAATTGCCTTAATAAATTTGGGATTGCTTGACTTGTTATCGCAACATTGTCGTAGGCAAGGCAATGGATATATCAATATTTTATTGCAAATAGCCAACACTTGATTGTATGTTTTTCCTTCATATAAATAAGAAGATGTGGTATCAGTGCCAATGAGACAACTCTCACTCCAGTCAAAATGTATAAAAAGTCATAGAACATATTTGATTTGGAACATACACACCTAGTATGGAACAAAACACAATCCTTTTCAGAAATACCCATAGTTGTATACATCATACAAAACTATTTTTTGATTAATATTACTGTAACTTGAAATATACGCGTTTCAAACTGTTATTGTTTAAGCATTATTTTTTTTTACAATTGTCCTTCTAATAACATAGTGCGCATTTGAATCATAAAGCATTCAGTATAATAAAAAAACATACTGCCCTTGGATGAAGGAATTAGGGTTATTAACATTCTCGGTGAAAAAATTATCACCCGCGACTTTGTCTTAGGTGATAAATTTCCCCTCGTGTGTTAATCTACCCTAACACCTTCATCCAGGGGCAATACGTTTATAATAACGTTTTCCCAATCTTAATGTTTTGTTTTTTAAGACAATAAAAGCTAAACTTAAATTGTTGGATTCAACACATATCTTTTAAAGTATTTCAAAGGAATATTAGTGGACTTTTTGTAGACCATGTATACCACATCCTCTAAAACTATCTAAATGCATATGATTATACTAAATAATGAATTATCATAATCAATATGACTTCAAAAAATCTTAATATGTAAATACATAAATATTGTTAGGAAAGCGCACACAATTAATCTTAAAAGTAAAACAAACATGACAAACGGTAATTAAGACTAAGCATGATAAAAAGTACAAAAAAATTAGTAACATGTCATTCTAATTACCCATCGTGATGACCCCTTAATTACACAAAAGTCACGAAAAACAGGTTACAACACAAGTCAGTGATTTATTATCACAGCAGAAGCATTTAACATTCAAAAACATATTTTTCTGTCATATATATATATAGATAATTTATTTCTATATTTCTATAGAGGGTGGTAACCAATATTTTATTATTGTCAAAATATACATGTTTGAAAAAAAAAATCGGATCCGTCAAGATAAAACGTCATCTACGAAGAATACATATATATAAAAGTACGAAACCTATTTATTTTATTATTTTGAATATGTTAATACACGTCCAAGGAACACAATAAAAATTAATATCTTTATGAGGTAGAATTTAATAAATAACCATGAAATCTGAGACTAGATTATAGTTGACATGTCTCCGAAAATTAAAGATAAAAGAGTAAGCATTCAAGCTTGGTGTTTTTAATATTGATTTACTGTAAGGACAATGGTTCTGTATGCAAATGCTTCTACGTCAAAAAAGAAAAGTAATTTTAAAATTCTTTTGTTAACATGATGTCATTTTAATTATCTGAAGTGGATGCGACTTCGAAACCAGTTGTTTTTAAATACTGTTTCAAGTCAATAACAGCATTGTTGTCAACCTGTATTAAAATGAACTTGCTTACACGTAGAAATACAAGCATTAACGAATATATATGCTAGCATAGCATTAATAATTAATAAATGCCTTTGTTAGTCTTGTATTATTTTTAATTTTAGTTTCTTGTGTACAATTTGGAGTTTAGTATGGCGTTCATTATCACTGAACTAGTATATATATTTGTTTAGGGGCCAGCTGAAGGACGCCTCCGGGTGCGGGAATTTCTCGCTGCATTGAAGACCTGTTGGTGACCTTCTGCTGTTGTCTGTTCTATGGTCGGGTTGTTGTCTCTTTGACACATTCCCCATTTCCATTCTCAATTTTATTTCTCATAGTTGAGAAGTTCTATTCTTGATGTTCCCTTCATAGAAAGTATATACTGAACACCCTCTTACTTTAATATAGAAGAAGGTCTTTCTACTTTAATATGTTCATTATTTGTGTATTGATTAATGTAAATTCCAACAAACAATTGTTAAAACATTTACAACAAAACAGCATAGCAAACATTTACAATATATTGATACAAAACATAATAAATTGGCAGGCAGGCAAGTATTGCTTAATTAAACATTTCTTCCAATTATTCACTAATAAAAAAGCAATGCAAATTGCAAATATTGACAAACTGATCATACAAACAATAAAAAAATAATGCCCAATACTTAACTCAAATATAAAAAAGGTTAAAAAGCATACACGAGACACCAAATACGGAACATGTAAAACGTTCGTCGTTTTAATCTTTAAAAAAGAAGTGTGCATATTAATTTTTGAACATACGATTTTACGAAGTTTTGACCAGACATGGTAAATGGTAGATTCGAAGAGAAAAAAGCAAAAGATGAGAAACTGAAGAATAAGATACTATGGAGGAAGACACAATGGGTAAAATATTGATTTTAAGCAAAGCCAAGATAATCTAGAAATTTGAACAGAATATTAGCTTGTATATTAATAAAATAATACACAAATGTTCTGAATATTCTGTAAGGGCTTGTGACATTGACATTGGATCCAGTGACATATTCTATTTATTTTGAAATGCCTCAGTGTTTTATCTGTTGTTTGTTCTTTTGTGTACAGTTCATTCATCTTGAAAAGCTGCGAGTTGTCAATTTCCGTATACAAAAATGTCTTTGTCCAAATGAGGATGTGTTTTGCTTTGATTGTTATGAGAATGTGGTGTTTCATATTGCTTATCGAGCTATAGGACCGGAAGACAACACATAATCCTATTTAATTGTTTCTCTCTGTCATAGTATGTATTGAAAGGAACAAGGTTTTTGTTAATTTCCTAAACAAATTTGATTTTGTATTCATAGTTGAAATCATGTTAACCAGTAATCATTCAGGACTATGTATTTTCAGTGATCTGCAAATAAAACACTGCAAGATGAATGACATCTACCATTTTGGAATTTCCCGTCACTTCAGTTTCCCTTAATGAAAGGCAACTATGATCCGTTATCATCGAGAATTATAACATTGTCTTCCCTGCCAGGAGAACTCTCTGCAAAATGAAACAAATTACATGCTATATCTGGAAACATTTGAATGAATTAAATATAATTTTACGAGACAGAATTGAGTATAAAAAGGGAAAAAAAAAACATTTCTCTATCAAGCTCAACAGTATTCATGTAAATCAACATGGAGAGCAAGTACTGCTTACTCTTGCGGAGAACTTGAGTGCATCTCCGGTTTTTAATGGGGTTCGTGTTGCTCAACTGTTAAAAAAATTAAAATTGACCATTGTAAATTGTACCATCCCTTTTTCCTTGCTTTCTTACAAATGAATCTTACTCTTTATGTCATATATGAGCAAATGCATGTAATCAGTATTTTCCATATATTTGATTTCCTTAAGTTAAAATGGTAAAATATCATTTCTTTTTTGTGTATCCATGGCAACAATTTGCATTTATTTGCTATAAAATATTGCAAAAAGGGGGCGAAGATGTCATATAATTCCCTAAAATTTTGCCAAAAGTAGAATTTCAATCCTTTGGAGTGATACCTTTCCTGAAACTATGTACATGTATCTATCAAAGAATCAAATAAAAATCATTTGTTTTTCATCTCATTTTTTTGGTAAAATAGCGTCAAACAGTTTGTGAGGAAAAATGTTTGTAAAGATTACAATACTTTCTGGACCTATGACTGGTCCGGATTTAAAAAATACGGAGTGTCAATCGATAATAGCCCAGAAACATGTAAAAAACAATCATTATTTCAAAATGGAAAATCACAGTCCTACAATGTAACTGTGTATTGCTACCATTAGCTTTCTAATTAGTGGGTTTTTTTTATCTTTTTGTCGTTTTTTGTTTTTGCGTTATAGCAGAGTAAAGCCAAATATAATGTCCAACTGTTGAAGGTAGTTATGATCTTATGAAACTATTATCTTTTACATAAACAAAATATGTGATGATCTATTACAAATGGGTGAAATACTAACAAAAAATGTTGTCAATACTTTAAAAAGCAAATAAAAGAAGTTTCTGTTCAAATACTTATGAATGCAATGTCTAAAAAATCAATCCTAAGGAATATTTTTTAAAAAGTCTAAGTTATTATTTCCTTTGTTTTTATGGGGTTTCCCTTAAAGGCCTTTAAATATTTACATGAATACACATCATTTGAAGTTATACTTCCTAATAAATTCTTCTTTCCTGGTTTATGACGTATCTGGCATGCGATTTATGACTGGATTTTACTTGTCATGAGCAAAAATCTGCTTACCATTATTATTATCTGAAAATTACAAGGTTCAAATGGTTTCTGCCATCTGGTACCCCTTAGCTCACCAATAAAGAGAGCAGAGTGCCGTACGAATTTAAATGTGTGGTAGCAGATAATGGAAAATTTTAAAACATTCCTATAATATAAGGATATGGTATGATTGCCAATGAGAAAACCATCCGCAATAGTTCGAATACCATAGATGTAAACGGATATCTGTCCCCGTACAGCTTTCGACAATTAATTCTACATTTTTTTTCTTTCTGTCTACTGTTGTCATATATATTTGTGACATTTCGAGTCTTATAGGTACGTTTCCTGTCTTAACTTGAGTAGCCTGTCTCGCAATTGAATTAGTATGTGTTTAAACTTACCTTTGCATGCGGGAACATTGTGATCTAAAGCAGGACGAGTATTAAACCTTCTTCCTCTTCTCAAATATTGAGGCATGCTAGATACATCTGGTATAGGAAGAAGGCATCTTGGATTTTGATGAGGGTAGTAATGTGGAGAATATCCATTCAAAACTTCAGTAAGCTGGGGAAACAACTTTTCGAACGCTGTGAGTTCTATCATCTTGTTACATTTTAGAACTTTCACCGGTAATTGATAGTATTCTATAAAAGCTTGCTCCTCTAATTCAGTACAGGTAACAGTTAATAACACGTTTTCAATTGTAAACAGAAATTCGCTAACCGGTGTGTTACCATAATAAAGTTTACAAACCGCTTCAACTAAACAAAACTTTCCCGATCTTCCTGGGTTATTCAAATGAAGACATGAAATATTTTTACCACCAAACCAAACGCCTTTGATGCACGAAATGAACTCTCTGACTGCTTGCTTTTGCTTCATTTGGTAACTGGTTTCCAGTTGTGTGTTGGTATCTGGTGTTTTTGAATTAGACTGCGAACTATTTCTTGACCTTATCATTGATTGTTCATTCTTTCTACATTCTATTGATTCTGTATATTCTGCATTTGATTGGCATATATTCTTCGTCATGTCGCATGGTTTTTTAGGCAAGTTACATGTTTGTTCACAAATATTGTAATTATCTGTCGAACTATGACCAAATTGAGAAGATGATTGTCGAAAATCTGAAGTCAATATCATGTTGCCACCGCTCGGTGACAAGCCCATTTCTTTCGGCGCAATACAATGTACTTGCATTACGTTATTTTTATCAAAATCTATTGCTCGGGGTTTTGTAGTTTTCTGTTGAGTAGGATTCACTTGTTTAGCTTCTGGGATACTTTGAGGCGTTGGAGTAATATTTTGAATATTTATTCCGTAATTTACATTAATATTCTGGCCTGGTGTAAATGCATTTAAAATTGTTTTCTGCAGAATCGGTTGTCCAGTGTGTGCCCTTGGTGGTGCAATTTGAGTATTCCGTGCAAAATTAAACAAAGAGTTATGATGTAATTGAGTATTGTTGTTTGGATTTCTTGTCGCACTGAATGGATTTGGAGCACGGTTTTGTGGCACAATAGTAACATTAGGTGATCCAAATCGAACATTAGATGGGAATCTGTTATATCTAAATGTAACTGGTGGATGCATATATTCCTGGTCGTACTCCATGTGCGCCGCATAAGGTGCAGATGTTTCTGGTGAAAATTCTGAAAAAGAATTCGGTGAGTCAGTTTGATGCGTATTGATTTTTAAACCTTCTGTTATAGGTTCTTCCGTAGATAAGTATTGTGCATGGTTTAACGGATCTTTCTCCGGAAGATCGTACACCTGTACATCACAAAAGTTTTGGATTTCTTTTATTGAAACAATTCGTGTTGATGGTTTAAACGTAAATTTAAAACCTTCCGCAGAACATCTTCTATTTAGCTCATCACATTCGTTGTCAGTGGGTGGCACACCTTCTGATGGCACGCTAATAGAAGCGGCATGTGTGAGCACTGCTAGAGGTAAAAATTTTATTTCCGACCTGCATACATATGGAATAATTGTGTTGTTGATTTGCACCCATCCGGATTTGATCGATCTACGCTTTCGTTTGTTGCTATCACAGGGCAGATGACAACAATCTGGGTATGTTTTTTGAACCACTGAATAAAATCCCATGAATTCTGATAGGAGTACCACTACATCCTCTTGATTAAACAATGGAATTTCTAGTTTGCCTTTACTTTGCATTTGGTATAATTGGTTAAAAACTCTACATTCATTTGGTTTGATGAATGAACTTGTTAAAGGTTCCCTGTTGGCTAATTCTTTCGGGAAAAAGTTTGGATACTTTTTCAATAGTTTTTGCTCTAGTAAACGGACACAAACATATCTTTTGTTATCTGCTCGAAAGATATAAGGAATATAAACTTTATCAATTAAAGTCCACCCAAACAATCCCTCCATTGGTTCGGATTCTTGTACATTCACAGTTTTCGGATCATTAAAACTTGCATTTGTAATATCATTGAAATTGTCCGGATGGTCATGCATGGGATTTGATGGTTGTGTGTTCATATATCCAATATGGCGATCTTCTAAATTATCCATGTCGTTAGAATTTGGAAATTGATCATTTTCTGTATTGTATATCTGTTTATCAAATGATTGGTTTGAATAATGATGAAATACAAACGGTTTGTATCTACTGTGTTTTGGCTGTGCTAAATTTCCCCTTTTTGCAGAACCTTGTTGCAGTCTGTGCTGCATTTGTGCGATTCGTTTAGGTAACGCATGTGACATTTCTCTGTGTTTTGGTGAGGTATGTAATGTGCTTTCAGACATTGCCAAATCATTTTGTTTGGTTTCAATTTGTTTTTGACAATAAATGTTTGATACTTCAGTCTTTTCCATAAAATGCTCATCAGTACAATTTGTATTGTACAAGTTCCTTGTGTTTTGATAAGATCCATATTGGCATGACTTGTATTCTTGTTCTTTTGGCTCTTCTTTAACTTGCATTTCTGTAACATATAGAAAACGATTAAATTATTGATTGTTGTTTACTCAACGTCAAGTGTCAAATATCTTAAACGTGCACAGACTCTCTTCTAACATCCAGCATCAAATAAAACGACAAGTTTTCGACCGGACAATGTTGTTTATTTATACAACACGTATCGATAAACGGATTTGAGCATGGGTCTTACTTTTGGAGGTATAAGACCAGGATGCACAATTTTTTTACTACAGTCAATGGAATAATATATGAGCTGCGTCGGAGAGAAATCAACCTTATTCAAAAGGATATTAATACATCTGTTAACCTATTCCGGGTTGGAAAAATCTCTATGGAAAGTCTGAAACTGTTTTAAAATTGAGTTTTTATAAGGAAATCTACAAAACAGACCAAAATTCATCTTGTATTTCGTATTAGAATGTTCCAAAATCAATGAAAGTCCTATACATGTAAATGTATACGTGCACTTACGTATGGTAGATTTCTATCCAACGCAGCTCATATATTGATTCAAATTAACAAGAAAGCAGAGATCATAAATAAGAAAAGTTAAATAAATAACATACTACGGAACTAAAAAAAAAATATAGAATCAAAAACCCTAAGAAAGGATAGTTATCACTCACAAATCTATCACACAGAAAACTGATGACTGAGCAAAACAAACCCTTTACTAGCAAAAAACAAGGATTAAACTTAAGTCTATTAAAAAAAAGTTAACAGTTTACGGTGGTCTTAAAAATAAACAACATTGTATCCTACTTCGTGTATATTTCCTTCCATTGACGTTACACAAGTGTCCTATCTGTAAAATTCCATTCTACAAAACGCCCTAAAGTGTTACATTCAACACATTCAAATAAATAAACACATGGTTTTAGACATATTTATTCCAAAATAATTATTATTAATAATAAAAAAAGAGGTTTTTACATGATAAAGTTTTGAATGTTAACCAAACACTTTAAAAATAACTTGTGAATATTCAGGAATACCTAAATCAAAAACTGCATAATTTCCTTTTTCCTGTATCCATAAGAGTTTTATATAAGTGTTTATTATAGCAAATCCTGAACTTGAACTTAATTGGTGTTCAGTTTGAAATGTGCCCTTTAATGTCGAGAGCATTTTCGTGGTCTTGTTTCTACTTCCGTCTTTAAGTTGACTCAGAGTGTATTTTTTTCGACTTATTATTCTAAGCTTTTCTTTTTCAAAATATGTTGTTGTTTATAAAATCTCATTTATACATTAAAACATTTGTGTTTATCTATTTGAATTTATTTAAAGACAAAAAGACAAACAATAGTATACATAGCCGGAGTATGATGTCAGGTGCTATGGAAGGTAAGCACACCTTTCTCTACTCGTGGCATTTATTACGTACATTAAGAGAGGATGAAACTTGCTTTCCAATTCTGTGCAACAGAAATATAAAGGAATCATTGCCGCCATACATATGCCAACCGATAACATATTAGGATCATTGCCGCCAAACATATGCCAACCAATAACATATTAGGAATCATTGCCGCCATACATATGCCAACCAATAACATATTAGGAATCATTGCCGCCATACATATGCCAACCAATAACATATTAGGAATCATTGCTGCCATACATATGCCAACCAATAACATATTAGGAATCATTGCCGCCATACATATGCCAACCAATAACATATTAGGAATCATTGCCGCCATACATATGCCAACCAATAACATATTAGGAATCATTGCTGCCATACATATGCCAACCGATAACAAAACAGGAATCATTGCCGCCATACATATGCCAACCGATAACATATTAGGATCATTGCCGCCAAACATATGCCAACCAATAACATATTAGGAATCATTGCTGCCATACATATGCCAACCGATAACAAATCAGGAATCATTGCCGCCATACATATGCCAACCGATAACATATTAGGAATCATTGCCACCATACATATGCCAACCGATCCACACAGTAGTATTTGACCAATACATATTAACAGTTAACTCTTGCGGTCAAGCTTCCAGATTCTGGACTCCCTGATGCCGTTCATAAATCCTCTCGTGTGCTTGAGGCCAAAATATTTGAAAATCCAAAACATAATGCAAAAATTAAAAGAAACAAAAAAAAAAAAAAAAAAAAAACGTAACGCAAAGCCAAACTCGGAAAAATGATAAGAGCTATGCTATGCATGAGAAAGATACATTCCTTACTCTAAAATTATTTCCAAATTTTATAACATCAAGTTTCACAAAAAGTTTTTCCTTTTTCATTAACGTATCGAAATACTTGCTACTGGGTTGATAATACCCTCAGAGACCAACAGTCAACAACCAGAGGTAACGAGCCAGTAGTAAAACATTAACGGTACCAATGTTACTACAACAGATACGCAATTTGACAATTAATGTCTCTTTAGAGATCCTCGAGGCTGAAATACTTGAAAATACATAAGATAATGCAAACATTGAACAGCGGATAACACCACAAAGGGCCAAAAGTTAATCCAAACCTGAACGAGAATCAGAGATATATGGGAGAAAGATACATTCCTTAATCTAAAATTATTTCCAAACATTTTTGACAGCAAATTCCAATAAAACGATATCAGTATTTTAAAACCAGATGTGCATTTCGACAATTAATGTTGTTTTCTGCTCTTTGGTCGGGTTGTTGTCTCTTTGACACATTCCCCATTTCCATTCTCAATTTTATTCGTCGGCGATGCTAGTGACTAACATACATGAAAATTAAAAATAATAGAAAAATTTCTAAGAGCGGATAAATAGAGAAAGTATCAAATGTATAGCCGAACCTGGACAAAAAAGAGGGGCGAAAGATACCAGAGGGACATTCAAACTCATAAATCGAAAATAAACTGACAACGCCATGGCTAAAAAAGAAAAAGACAAACAGACAAATAATAGTACACAAAACACAACATAGAAAACTAAAGACTAAGCAACACGAACCCCACCCAAAACTGGGGGTGATCTCAGGTGCTCCGGACGGGTAAGCAGATCCTACTCCACATGTGGCAACCGTTGTGTTGCTCATGTTAGTACAAACTAGTCTAGACAAAATAGTCTAATTCAGTAGGTCACATTCGCTAAAAGACAAAGCATCAGAGCTATGCGTGAGGGAAATGCACTCATTAATTTAAAATTATTTTCAAATTTTTATAACACCAAAATTCAATATAAAGATATCCGTACGAACAATAGCATTACACTAATTACAATCATTATTGATATATTAAACAATTAGAAAAAAACAAGTTTTATTCCGATTGCTCAAGAAATTTCTAAGAAGAATATGAAAATTGAAGCTCCCATACGGTGAAATACGTTGTAACTGAAATGGCTTCATTGAAGTCACGACGTTACTCAAAAAAATCGACATTGAAGTCATGAAGTTACTCAATCAATACGACATTAAAGTCTATATATATTCACAAATTAGAATTTCACAAATAAAACTATTAAAAGAAATAAAATCTTACCTGACAATGAAAATGCTTATGAAGCGCGTGTCCTACTTTAATAATAAGTTCAAGTGTCTTTGTATAAAAAGTGTATTCATGTTTCAAACTGTTACATATTTATCGTTTGACCCACAACTTTAAAAGAAGACGATGAATGGGTGTTAATAATTTCAGTGCTCCTCATAAGATGCACTTAAAGTGACTGCATTTGCTTTAATGCCTATATTTACTAACATTATTTCAGTCATTCATTTGAAATACAGGATTGATTTATAATAAAATATTAAGTTTTTAAACGTTGTCTCGTATTAACCATGAAATGATATGTATCCAACTAGTAAAAAATTAGAAATAGATTACATATCCGTTGAGGTAAAATAATACTAGATGGAAGACATCCTCTACAGTCAATCTAAATGGGTTATGTCGCAGATTTCTTTTTTACATTTTGCATTCAACTTTGAACTATTAATCGGAAAGCAATGACTATATATATATATATACCTGTTAGTCAAATGCGTTTTGTTAAAATATAATTTTCACTTTTTGGTCTTTTGAAAAATGTTGTTTGTGCTGTATTTAGACCCCTCTACCAAGAAATTTGTTTTACATGCACACGTATAAAAATTGCGGTTTTTATCCAACGCAATCATATGTTTGAACGTTGTTTTCAATTTAGACTTTTTATATATTGTTTGGCTGATGTTTAGACGAGTTGTATATACAGAATGTACACAGCCATGTATCACCATCACTGCTGGTGATCCGATGGATAAATCTGTTGTAGAGTTGTCACTGGTTCAGACGTACTTATAAATATAATTATTTCTGTGACTTTATCTTGCATTAATTTGTAGGATCCTTTACAATAGATATTTCAGCTGATCTGTAACAATTCCATCTTCATGCCTTATATATCATGTACTGTATTACGACGCTAGATTAAAACTGACGAGGAAAGGTAACACCCGGCCACCGAAAGCTTTATTTTGAAGCCTAGGTGGTCGTGTGGTCTAGCGCGTCGGATACAGTGCAGGCGATTTGGTGTCACGATATCTCAGTAGCATGAGTTCGAATCCCGGCGAGGGAAGAACAAATAAATTGCGAAATCAAATTTACAGATCTAACATTATTGGGCTGATGTTTAGACGAGTTACTCTCTAAATATCAGCACAACAATGTTAAATCTGCAAATTTGCGGAAGCAAATTTTTTTCTACACTCGCTGGGATTCGATCTCATGCTATTGGGATATCGAGACAACACCGCCTGCATTGTGTACAGCGCTCTAGACCACTCGGCCACCTAGACTGAACTAATAATTCATCATTCGGTGGCCTAGTGTTACTTTTCCTCGTCAGTAGAATATAAAGTTGTAACACTGTACATGATATATGGAATTGATCGCAGATTAGCTAAATATCTATCGTAAAGGATCGTAAGATACAGTCACAGAAATAATTATTTTGATAAGTACGTCTAAACAAGTGACAACTCTACGACAGATCCATCCATTGA